CTATATATGGAAACTAAAGCTTTTACACTTTAGAATAAATACGTACGTACTGTTCTATTTCGAGATCTTTTTAGGGAGGGATAAGCAGAAACGCCAAATTAACATATCGATACTGAATTAACGTTAATAGTTAAGGATCACCAAAAAATATCAAACGATTTGACAATTTATGAGTGTTCGTCAGTTGTGCGACATGAATTTATCAAGTTTATTTGATATCTTAGACTGTTCTCCTTTATCAATTTATCAAATTATGCAAGACTTGTACGTAACATTTCTTGTTTCTCTTTTTATAATAATTCTAATAATAACATAATAACCTGGCACAACTAATTCAGTGAGGTTGAATGAACCATCAAAAAAATGATACAACATTTTATTATGCCTACCTGTAATAACAATTGAACCATCAGAAAATCGATACAATATTCATTGCGTTTATGTCTCGACTACAATAACATAGTAATGCGAGCGCAAAAAATTTAGTAATTGAGAATACGTAGTCACATCGCAAGGAGAGTTGCTTAGAATTTAAAAATAACGTCAAAATACAGACTGTTTCCACGTACAAGTTTCAGCAACAAATTCCTGTTTTCCTGTTCAGCATGCAGTGTGGATTGATTGCGTAATATCCATCATAAAATGTGTGTGCTATTGTAAGTGTCATTCGTAATGTGCTGGAGTTGGTTTACATAGATTAAAGTTGCATCGCACCGTAATGAGTAATGAATGTGTAATTCAGTTAATAATTACAGACCCAGTGAAGGCTGTAATCATGACAATTGGTAGATGAGGTAGCCTACTGCAATGGTAAACATGTGGTGCGAGTTCCTCCCGCAAGGTCACTCATCTTAAGTGAATGTCTATATGGTAAAAATCGGGCTCAGGGTTTTTTTTACAGAAATGAACGTGACTATGGCACCAGGACATACTCACAATTCATCACCATGATTTATTGTACAATTCCATGGATAATTGACTATAGGCACGAGTTTGTTCTATTTTCATTGAGTCGCAAGATCAGAGAGTTGTCCAACCGAAACAACTTAGAGGCTGTAACTGCGAGTGAAAAGATTTAGCTAACTTAGCTAATCGGAGCTGATCAGTTTACTTTAGGTGGCAAATATATAATAGCTACAAAGCAACGAAGAAAATCAATCAGTAACTTCATTGAATGGCTAAACAAAAGAATTCACGCAAACTTACCATTAGAATAAATCAGGCGCCAGCATCATCAATACAATGACTGAAAGCCCACAAAATGAAAGAAAAACAAAAGAATTAGACAACTCGAAGCAAAGCTCATTATTATACTAATTCAAACACAAAGTAGCAATATTTAAAAAACACAGTTTAGGTTATCACTTTTTTGATCGTAAAAAATAATCTGTGCTCAGTTCCTGATCACATGATAACAAACCAAAAAAATCATATGTATGCCGGTAACTATTAAAGGTTGATTTTATGGGTAAGAATGGTGGACAAGATTATATGTAAAATTTCCTGACATTCTTTATTAGTGCTTCAAGCCAGATTTTGACATCCCTATATTTTAACATATTGGAAAAATTGAGGGGCATGTTATTTTAACGTATTGGAAAAATTGAGGAGGCGTGTAATCATTTTCTACTAGATTTAGCTCCAAAAAGCACAATCATTAGTAAATAAAAAAACTTTCCCTATTTTGCCAACAACCATGTCTGATAAATTTGAATCACTTTGTGAATTTCTGAGAAATGTTCCATTAACTCAAATTACTAACTCGAGCATACTATATCAATTGTAGAGTCTTAACAACATCCAAACGGAAAAGGTCGATTATAAATGTATTATTAGACTATTACGTAAAGTGGAAGACGAGGATGTGACTGATGACCATAAAGAACATCTTAGATTATTGCAAGATAATAATCAGGTAATTTTTTATAAATAATCTATTTATTATTTTGAATGATGAATATAAGTTATCAAGGCAATCGATTGAATAACATTTAAGATGTCAGTGATATGATCGAATAAGTGGCCAGTGAGAATCTTTTTTATTGCATTCTGTTAATGTGCAATACAATCAAGTAAGCAGCAAGCAAGAATCTTTTTTGTTGCACCCTGTTAATGTGTGATATGATCAAGTAAGCGGCAAGTGAGAATCTTTTTTATTTTACCCTGTTAATGTGTGATGTGATCAACTAAGTGGCAAGTGAGAATTTTTTTCATTGTATCCTGTTAATGTGCAATACGATCAAGTAAGCGACCAGTGAGAATCTTTTTCATTGCACTATATTATATAGATAGCGAAAATCTGATGATTAGTTTAATCTTGTGCACAAAATGAGAATTTCTGAAGTTTTATTAATAAACTTTTTTATTTTTGAAGATACAATATTATAGAAATGAGCTGATATCATTGATGAATGCAAGCTTATTGAAGAAACAATTCAAAAAAGACAATTAGAGAGAAACTGTGAATAATATAGTAATCGTAAAAATAATGCTACAGGTATTCAGGTATTTTATTTATATACAATTATATAATCAAGCTATTTATTTAATCAAGTGTTTACCCGTTACTTAATTTGATCTGCTAGAATAAAAATACACCAATTCATAAACATATTCTCAAAGAATTGAACAAAATAAATATTATTAATTTGATATTTGATAACTTATTATATAATGAAATTATTGATATCAGTTCTAATAAATTTCAAATTGAAAGTGAATATAAAATTCTTATAGTATGTATTAATTTTAAATTTTAACTCTATTTACCATTGAAGATTTTTTTCTAAATATAGTGCATAAAATTTAAAGTTATTAAATATTTGTATTTTATAAACTGTATAAACTTTTTTTACTAAGAAGTAAATTCAAATTTTAATCTGTGAATGCTCAGAAAGGACCTATTTTATCATATTTACAGATTAAATTTTGTATTTATTTCTTAGTAAAGAAGTTTATATATTTTATAAAATATAAATATTTAATAACTTTAGATTTTATACACCATAACAATTTCTACAAGGAAAAAATAAATTTATAATAAATTCACATTGATATTGCTGACAAAAAAAGTAACTCATAATTAGTAAATAGAAAATAAATATGATCGAGAACATACAGCAAGAGATATCATGAATGTCCTCTTGCAAGAACTAAAATATAATTAATTTCATAGTTCAAAATATTCTCTTGTTAATTTAATAGATCATTTATAGAAGCTACAGTATATAAGTTGTTAATCGAATATTAAGTAAAAATTACAAGAGGTAATTAATAAAACATCACTTCTAAAAATTGAAAATTTCAAAGTATTGGGGATTAGTGAAAGATTAACCAGATTTCATGATATGAGTATTTTAATGATATAAATAGAAAGAGGTCATGTACTTGAAGAGTGAAAATTTGAAAATTAATAGTCATAAAATATTTAATGATCACAAAAAATTGATTCAATTTGTCTTGATGATTATACTGAAATATCTAAAAAGTGCTAAAAGAAACATTTTTCTAAAAATTTTAGTCTAAATATTAATATCATAGATAAAGATATAATAATTCACAGATTAATAAAAACAAAATAATTAAATATTTTTTGCCAATTCTAAAAGTAAAAATTCTCTTTGATACTAAGTCTATTGAATAAGTAGAAGAATTTGTTCAATCTTTATTAACTTTGCAAATTTACAATTATTGCATTCTAAATTGAATTTTTAGATTAGAAAATACAATTAGTTTAATATATATTTTAAAAAAAATACTTATTTGCAAAGTATTATTTGTAATTCCAAAAAAAATATCTAATTATATGATTTATATTTAAAAAAACTAAAAATTAATAAATATGCTAACCAACAAAAATTTATATTTACTCATATATTTATATATGACTTAGTATATAATAAGTTAGTATATATATAATAATAGCAAATATATATATTTCTGATTTTTATTTTGAATATGATAACTAAAAGTATAATAATAAAGAAAAAAATAATAATAATTTTCTAATTTTTTTATAATATTAGAATTTTATTTATAATTTATAATATATTTAGAATTTCAATTTGGATTTAATATATATAAACTTATAACTCTATATTAGAAAAATAAATAGGAAATATATACTTTAGAATTTATTCAAATTACTTGAAATTCTTTTTATTTATACTGGATTACAAATTGAACAAAATTATTATTACAAGATCTATTATTGTACTATTATAAAAAAGAATTAATTACTTTATAAGTTCCACTACTTTTTGATTAAAATATATATATACATTTAGAAATTTATTATAATAATAAAGAATATTTTATATATTATTAGAAACTTTATAAAAATATAGAAATATTATAAATATTAGAATGTAAAACTAATTCTGATTTTTTTGTAAGCATAATCAAATACACTAAATAATTAAAAGAAATCTCTATTTCTGATATTCTTGATTTTAATAATGCTAGTATTATTTATGATTTACAAAATAAAATAACAATTTATTAAAATTTTTCAATATATCATTTAACAACAAAGTTTAAGACAAAATTATTCAACTAATTATTATTATGCAAAGAAAAGAAAAAAAATTACTTATAGAAATAAGAGCTTAAACTTCTTTAATAACTATTAAACTTTAATAATCTATTATATATTAAAATAAAAGATTTAGAAATTTAACTTTCTCTTGAAGCAACTTTAACACTTGTACTTAATTATAAAGTTTTGAGAAAATTCAATGATGTATTATGAAAATAGATAAAATGAGCTAAAGCTAATAATAAATATATCAAAAATATAAAATATAAATTGAATAAAAAAATTAAGAGTTATTAAATAATTGGATACAAAAAGTCATAGAGAAGACTAATATTAGTTTGACAATTTTTATAAATACAGAACAATATCTTATTTGAATATTTATCCAATCTTGTTCAACATGTCATAATCATGATCTATCCAAAAAACTTAAAACTTATAGAATTGGTTACAGTCTTTGAATTACAATTAAATGCAAACTATATAAAGAACTTACAGAATATAATAATGAATTATCTGATCTAAAATTCTCTATTCTTGTTGCAGGTGCAGGATTAGTTGGTGGTATTAATAGACAACAACTTTAAACTATATTGTCAATAACAGGAATAACAGTATATTTATCAAAAAGTTCTTATCATAAAAAACAAAATGAATATTCAAATTATAAGTGAGGCAGAAATCAGTGTGCAAATTGCTTTAGACAAGATCATTGCATATATTAAAATGAAAGGACAAAGAATGCTTTCTACAAGTTTTGATTGTTCTTGGTCGCATTGTCAAAATGCAAATCAAGTCAGCAGAGAATTAATATTTTAAGAATATCTTGAAGGTAATAGAAAGATTTTCAGTTAAATTGTTCATAATAAAATAATGAATTATTTGCCAATAGAATATGATCATAAATCTGTTATTGTCTTTGCTATTACTGAGAAATCATGTCAGCTAAAAAAAAATGGTCAAAAATATGAATTTTTTATGGTAATCATGACAACATCGCATCAAATGGAACATGCGATATTATTATGACTTATTGAAAAAATTGAACCTATATTGGAAGCAAATGAAATATTATTAGATATTGGTATAGATGAAGATTTAGATTCAAATAAAACCTTGAATAATATACCATGTGTTAATAAAGTATATGCAGATTTGAAACACGTTGGCAAAAATATTAGAAAAAATTAGTAAGTTACTTTTTAAAAATTAATAATATCTATATTATCGTTATTCATATATTTTGTATTATAGCAAAAAATACCATATAGAGAAATTATGAAAATGTTAGTATGCCACATTATAATTCATATTGTAGTCAATGTTAGCATTGTGAAGAAAATCAATATCAGCACAGCGATATATGTTCAGTTCACAATACGTACAGTGCACATGAGTTTAGTAAATTTCTGGATTGTCGATTAAATAAAGGCTGCTATGCATGTAAGAAATATCAAACGAATTTATCAAGATGAATGGTTTAGCGGAAATAAAGACATCGACTGTCTAATAAATGGACGCGAGAAAGTTGCTGGTGTAATAAGATCTTTTGAATGGATCCTTTTTGAAATTTACCAATGTTGAATATCTTGCAAAAGGAGATTTGGATCAATTTATAAAGTAAATAGGGTTGCAGAAATTTCTCAGATCAAGGGTAACTACCAGATACGTAATTACCTCTTACGTCATATTAAACAGGATAGGATAGTTGGGTGAGAAGAGGAACACGTCTCGACAAAGCAGCAATATAACCGAGTCTATGAAGCTCGTCACGGACAGCTTGCACACTTACTTATAATCCTGTGTTTTCTTCAAGCCGCGCTTTGATTTCAGCTGCCGTAAGGAAAATGATTTGAATTTATGACTTGACCGATTTGGCAGCGCATTTCAGGCCAGGACGACGAATATTACATTTTTTCGAAGTGAAGCAACGTAACGTTCACAAGAAGTGGAACGCCAATTTTTTGCGAAATTTTTCTACCATTGTATTAGCCACTTCGCCATAATTTCTTCAGTCTCACGCTTGGATTTTACGGTAATATAAGTCTTTTTTGTTTACGCTCTGGTCGCAAACAAAGTAGAATGATATGTGAAACATCTGAAATATGTTTGCGGGTGCTGTCTGACGAAACATTCGACACCATTACTTTCCGTGCGGACTGTACATGTGTATACATGCAGATATTTATTTAAACTTTGAAAACGAAATAAATGATATAACGATAACGTTGACAGTGGTAAAAATACAGAAATATCAGAGATATCATAATAAATATTAATATTTTCTGATTTTAAATTTCCATTTTCCTTTTCAAGTTCAAATTGCCTAGATAATTAAATTTCATTTTCCTCAAATTTCCTATGTAATAAATTTTGTCATTCATATTCTAATTTATCTTGTTTTTGTATGTACATGTATCGTGTAATAATAATTAAATTGAGTCGAG